GTGCTGCTGACCGTTCAAATGATGTCCTAGGAAAAGAAAATTCTCCAGCAGAAGCCTTTTTAAAGATGTTAATTTGTTAGGAAAACTAAGATATGGAAGGTTTCCCAATTTGTATATTTCAGATATGACAAAAGACATTTTTGTTTCTGAGGCAAAACCAGAGGCAAAACCGTTTCTATCTATAAATAGATAGAAAAATAAGCATGATTTCATATTTCTTCTGTTTTAGGACATGTGGCCAAAATACCAAGGGAATGCCTTCAAATTGCCCTATTGTTTACATCTGTAAGGAGTAGTCTGTGAATAAAAAAATAAATTACCAGATATTTGATTCTGTGTTAGGGATAATGTTTCACATGGAGGAAGGAAAAAATACATCTATTCAGTAATAACTTGTTTTTGATTTTAAAATAAAGCTAGGAGACAAGCTAGGAGATTTGGAAAAGAGCAGGTAAGTCTGAGCTGCATGTTAAGCATGGACAATATAAATCTCTCTGTGCTTCACCATTGTTTTGCCTTAAATGCTTCTCAGTAATCAGAGGTGTAGTTCTGTGTGTTTGTGTCCACATGGTGCTAGAAAATTAAAGCTTTCTAGACTGAACAGGAATGACAATTAGGGTCTGCTGTGCTGGTGATTTCTTGAGTAGACTTCTGCCCACTGGAATAACTAATTAATGTCACATAAAGCATAGGATGTGTAAAATAGTGACAACTCAGTCAATTTATCATAGCTTTGCTGAACAGAGTCAAGAGCTTACTTACTGCACTCCAATTTGTTGGATGGTTTAGTTCCTTGACTATGAACATGTATTTTCAGTTGTCAAGTCTCTTAGGGATAATTTTTTCACCATTTATTTTTTGCATGATCACAAAACTTTTGAAAGCTTTCAGAAGTTCTTAACAGATTTATGAAGATATTTCTTTAAAGTCCCAGAGAACACTTCAGCCAACTTCTTTTCAGTTCTCCTCCTTGGTTTGCTCTTAAGGGTCTGAAAAACACCACACAGAACAAATTATGAGCCCACCTTGCAAGGCTGATGTATTTGTTTAGAATGTGATGGCAGTTCTGCTTGCTAACAGAATATTGCATTTCAGGTATAGCTGCAACTCGGTTCTAGTGTGAAATGAGGATTCTTTCAAACAAGAATGTCTGTATCCATGAGATGCTTAAGATTATTTACCATATATGTATTTTTTATAAGTTACATATATGTGTATATGTGTAGATATAGAGAAAGAGCACATAATTTATGCAGCAAAAAAATAGAGAATAAGTTAAAATACAGAAAAGTGTTAAGGAGCATACTGGTAAATGTGTCAAATAGTTTAAGATGAACACAATGAGTAGAAATCCTATTTTCTCTTTTGCTGCGATGGAGGACAAACCAGAGCTTTTGTGAATGAAAGGGAAGAGTTTCAACCTAGGCTACCCTTCTTGCCTGTTTTTCCCCTTCTCAGCCTCTCTCTGTGCTACTGTCCCTGACAGCTTCAATTCATGGCCTATCTCAGAACAAGCTTCTGTGCCTGTGCACAGGCCACATGCATAAAAATATTATTAGTTTTCAAATATACCTAAGAAACTTCATCTCAGGCAAAAGTCATTATGGTCAGAGCAAAATTCTAATATTTGGTATTAAACATTTCTTTAGGTAAGGCTTGGGAAACTCAGTCTGCTCTGTAGGTAGTGCTGATACCCTTAAATGCTGATACTACATGACCAACTGGTATGTTGGTCAAATGGAATAGAAAGTATTTTTACCTTTATCTTTGCCCTTTCAAATAGAAATAGGATGAAGTTTTACTTTGACCATTCTGATTTTTGTATGATTTGTCATGAGTACCCCATTTAGAAGAGGGATGAGTCATTTTGACTATCCATTTTTAATACTCTGAGAGATATGGGGAAAGAAATCCCAAAAATAAGTTTTGCCTTATAATATGAAATTTGATGCAACTTATTAAAAAAATAAATAAGGAAAGTGTAGTGAATTCATGGAAGGTTAATAATATTTCTGAGAGGTCTGAAGAAAAGAAGGCCAAGGTGGAGGATGTAATTACCACCTTCAGCTACTGAGGGAGTGCTCACAGGGGACACAGAACCACACTCTGCTCAGGCACCCCAAGAAAGGACGAGAGGCAACAGATCCCAGCTGCAGCAAAAGAAATTCTTATTAGGAAAAACAAAAGCATTCTCTACAATAAGCAATAGTCAAAATTGAATTTTTTCCCCAGAAAAGTTGAAATCCCCATTCTTGGGGTTTTTTGAAACTAGGCTGGACAAGATGCTAAGGAAGCTGATCTAGCTTTGAAGTTGTACTGCCATGAGGAGGGAGTGGAACCAGATCATCTCTCATCAACCTAAATGATATTGTTCAATTATATTCCTGATTGTAGACAGTGATATTTGTAAGTCATAGCAATGATGTGATTCTCCACTTGAAGTGTTAGCTTTGCCCTAGTGGTCTAAAAATTAAACAACTTAAACATTAGTCTTCCTCAATCTAATAAAAGTGACAATACTTTTTCTAAAATAAGCTTTTAATAGTGGATATTAAACTGGTAAGCTTGGTGAACATTTAGTTTACATGTACGGAGTTAACATTTGAATATTTTTTTAAACAACTGTTGTAAACTCATGTTTTGAACAGTGATCCTGCTAATGTGATAGAACAGATGCTATTATTTGATTTATAGAGCAGGTTTCTGTAAAATTCTGAATGTTGCTGTAGATTGATCACATTATTGCAGGACATACAATCAAGCTTACAATTATTCAGTCATAGGTATTGGGGCTAAGCTTATATTTAGACAAGCATTTGACATATCAATCAATATGATACCATGAAAGATTTACTGAAGTTGGTCATACCATAACTCATTTTTGCTATGTGAAAAAAACCCATAAATTAGAGGAGACAAATAGAAAAAGTTCTTCTCTCCACTTGGACTATTTAGATTCCACAGAATGTCTAATGTTCCTTTAGGAGTTATGAATAAAAGTTGCATCAATTCACTCCTTTCCTCAAAGTGCAAGAAGAAAAATAAAACCTAAAAAAAAAATATATTTGCTGCAGTAGTTACTGCAAAGAAAGATAAATCTACTGGAGATACCAAGACAAGCCTATTAACTAGCAACTTTTAATGCTTATTTCAGAAAGGGCATTAAAGCAGTGGTTTCAGTACTCGTTTGCCTGGCCTCGCTTCTCATCCATGTCCTGAAGAAGTGTGAAAAGTTTAGTTTCTTTTCCGAGCATCCAAACGTTTCTGACATCCAGAAAGGAAAACCAAATATTTCCATTATTTAGAAAGAGAGATGTAACAATGATTGGAAAAGCTTTTCATGATATGAAGTGGATATTCGTTTTTCTAAGATACACTCCAGGAAAATGTATGAGGTTCCGTCATTGGCTGTTTAATAATTCCAGACATTGATGATTTACGCCAGACCTGGAGAGCGCAGTGTTTGCCTGCCATCTGTCCCAGCTAATCTCCAAATTCCATCTACAAACGTGGATGACTTACAACTTCCCTGATTAATGTCATCTATCATTTTCTTCATAACACAGAGCAATTAATCTCGGCTGGTCCCAGGAGTCCACCGCAGTAATGGGTTTGTGGGAGGTAGAAATAACCCGCAAAAGTCTCTTTGGAAAGAACACCCTTTCCATCCTTTCCTCACCCCCCCACCCCACCCCCCTTTATTCTTCTTTTCTTTATTATTATTTTTTTGTGTGTTTGTGTCTTTTTCCCCGCTCCCCCGTCTCTCGTCGCTGTCTGACACCCGTGACGGGGCAGCGGCTCCAGGAGCCCGCTGGCCGTGGGAGCGGGCGCGGTGCCCGCTAGCAAGCGGGGCTGGGCCCGGCTGCGCAGCGCCTACACCCGCACCCGAGGGGCAGCGGGCAGGTGCCCGTACGGGCCGGGCGGAGGAGGACAGACGGCAGAAGGACGAGAGGGCGGCCGCAGCTGCATTGCGGATGGAGCCGCTGGCTCCCGGGGAGGGGCGGCCGCGTGATGCCGGGGGCGGGTGAAGGCCCGCGGAAGGCAGCGTGGGCGGCGCGGGGCACCGGGGGCGCGGAGCCTCCGCCCCGCCGCAGGAGGGAGGGAGGGAGGGAAGGGAAGGGAAGGGAAGGGAAGGGAAGGAGGGAGGTGCCGCCGCCGCGTCCCGGCGCGGGCAGCGGAGCGGCGAGGGGCGGTGAGTGCGGCGGGCGGGGGCTGACGGCAGCCGGGGGAGCGGCGTTCTCCCGCTCCGGGCGAGCGTCTGCCCTCCCCGGGCTCGCCCTCCGCGGGCGGGGGCGCGGAGCCGCCGCAGGGAGGTGCGGGGATGGGGAGGGGAGCTGCTTGCGGGCGGCCGCGGAGCCGGGCTCTCACCTGCGCCCTCCGCTTCGCCCTCTCCCCGCCGCTCGGCTCGGTCACACCGGGACCTGCCCCACTGCCTCCCCGCTTGTCCCGGCCGGCTGCGAGCGCCTGGGAGTTGCCGCGTCCCGGCAGCCGGTGCGGCTGTTCCCGACGTGGAGTTGCGATGGGCCGGGCGGGCGGCTGGGAAAACTGCTGAGGGTTCTTGTAGGTGTCACGCAGAGTTTAGCGCTCTTAGAGCGGCTGCTTGGCTGTGGATACACTCTTGGTGGGGAGGCAAAGCAAGAAGGAATGACGTGAAGCCATGCCTATAAAAAGTAAAAAGGCCGTCAGAAGGGGTTTGCCCAGCGCCCCGTGAGCGAGCCTTTGGCCCAGGACTGAAGCTGTCAGGGTGCTTTGTGAAAGCAAATAATTGCTATTTTAAGAAAAAGCCCTGTCGTTTGTCAGGTTAATTTTATAGGAGCGGGGCTGTAGTTGCGCCCTTTAAACACCCCGAAGTGCCGCTCCGTGCCTGGGAGCGCTCAGCGCTGGTACTGACGTGCGTGTGCTGCGTTTTGTAACGGGACCAGCGAAGCTGATGTTGCAAGAGTAGCGAAGACGCATCTGTAAAGAGAGCAGAGGGCATGGGGACAGTCTGATATCGCGTGCGGTTAGACAGCTTCTGGAGCTCTCTTAAACAACCAAAAGGAATGTAACAAACAAGGTATAATTAAAAAAGAAAATAGCTCTTGTAGTAAAGGCTGTTGGCATAAAGGTAAATTCAAGTCATGGGTGTTTCCTTTTAATAATTCAGCCTAAGTGAAATGTAAATCTGTGTTATTATGGAAACTGAAAAAAAGTGGTTCTGGGTTATGAGTGTGGCTTTCTGTGTTGTATGAACTACTTTATGTCTAAAGGTTGGGAGGCTTAATTCTGAGTGAATTTTCTGGTGTGGCTACATTTAACAATTTATAAATCAGCACTAAGAAGCTGCACTGAAGAAAGTTGGTTTAACAGACTTGTACTTCACTAAAAATGTTCACTTTCTAAAGACTGCCCGTGTCATCCTTTAGTTTTAATATGTGTAAGATAACATATTAAAATCATTTGCTGTTTATGTATAGGTCACAGGACCTATGCTGTCCTTTCCTGACTTTAGTTCTCTTTTTCCAATGACTCTTTTGAAAAAAGTCATTTTTTTCTAGGAGGTCTCTTTGAGAGTATCTGGAAGACAGTCAGGGACAAATGTTATGAAAGTTGCTTGAGAACATCATGCTGTGCTTTGGGAGCAGGTGACTTTCTTAGGTACGAGTTGTCCATGACTTGTTCCTGTTTCAGCTATACTGCTGGCTTTATTTTGGAATGACTCACTTTCTCATAAGGCCATTGGTATAATAAGAGGCAATAATTTAAAGATTTTAAGGCTTTCTTTAAAAATCCAGATGTATGTGACTGGTTAATTTTGTGAGGCCTATTCTGACTTGAGATTCAGAAGGACTGTAGAGATGTTTCTTTTTGTTAAGTTATCAGATGTTTCATTGGTTTTATAGCACTACTCTGGAGTAATGCAGGTTTTCTGATGAGATGGTATGGGCTTTTATTCATCACTACTTTGTCTCCTTAGAACAGATTAAGTCCTAATATTGTCAGGTGCTTCCCTTTGTAAACTAAGGATTTTAGAGCATCTTTAGCAACTACCACATTATTTCTGATGTTTTATAATTAATTTTCCTGGGCAGTACAAAATACCAGAAATTACGGCTGTGCTTAGGCACTTGGATTCCACATTTGTCTTCCCACATTGTGCATTTGATGACAAGGAGGAGTAGTGGGAGGCTGACATAAGTGATAATAGTCTGACATAGCACTTCTATAGGCTATATATCACACCAGTGTGCCATATATTACAGCAATCATATGTAGTGTGTCTGTCACAGCTGGCCATAAGAGCTGGGGGGAGGGATCTAGAATTGCTGCAGTCAGGCCTGCCATCCAAATCCACAAGAGAACAACAAAGTCTTTATTTGGATCCTATTGAAACACTAATGTGGGCAGTAGAAAAAGAGAACTTCATTGAGTAGATTGTACTTGATACTAAAATTTTTATTGAATTAAATAATTCAAGTTGAAGTAGTGAAATCCCATGCTTTCCATTCTTTGTAATTCCTTAGGTCAACATGTGTAGGGTGAATTACCTTTTCACTTATGTCCTCCTGACTGCTTTAAATTTTAAAGGTGTAAGTCATTGGTTTATCATACTTAATCGATAGTTAATCAATATCCTAAATGTACTTGGAATGTAATCAGGAAAAGAAAGAATTTTAGTTTTTGTTTTAACAGCTGCAAAACTGTATTAAATTGATCTTTATCCATAGCAGTCTACCTTTTCCAGTTCTGTTTCATTAGACTGACAAGTAAATGTGTAGATAATATAAAAGATAGCCTAGAATTTCTTATTTTAATAATTAAAAAAAAATTCTTGCTTCTTCATTTACTTTATTTTGTGCTTGAGACTTTTACCTGACAGAGGTTGAAACCAGGATTGAATGTCTTGTGGAGGAGATGCAGGAAAAGATGAGCTAGAATGCTAATATTCACATAGATCACAGGTTTCAGTCTGCTATGATGGATTGTGATGATGTAAAAGTTATTCTTCCTTTCAGAAGCAAAACTATTCATGAGCTAAATATATTCAATATCTTTGAGCTGTTAGTTTATCATAAGCATAGAACGCCTGTCAGAACTGTGCCCTCAACTCAAATTACCACATACAAGGAAGGTATCCAAATAATATAAGAAGTGGTGGTCACATTTATTTTGATTCACAGACCATGAGCAATTTTACAGTAGAGTCAGTTTGCCATTTAAATTTTGGTTTCAGCAGGCCAGTTTTTCTTAATTGTGTCTATTAGACCACTTGGAAATAATTTGCATATTACAAGTAGAAAATTACTTTTGTAATATATGAGTATCCACTTTGACTTTCCTACGGTTGGCTGGTGGTGTGTGGATTTATAGTACCTTGAAATTTATGTATGAAAACCAAGTCTCTCTTTCCACAGTTGTCCCTATCTCCTCTGATGTGTATTTGGCCAAGATGTTCATATCCAAGTTGCTGAAGTTGAGGTTTTTGAATGATATTGTAATTAATTCATTAGTCCTCATATTTATATATATGAATATATAGCCCATATAAGATTTGTTCTGTGATAGAAATTTGGGGGGAGAAATAAAGGAAATATTTACCTGGATGGTCAAGGTAAAGTAGCAGTGGGAAAAGCACGATTTAACCTTATCATGCCTGTGTAGAGATGGTTCTGAAAGATTTGGTAAATATAATAGTATAAACTCACCCTTTATGATGAGAGGAAATGTTCTGATCACTCATCTTCAAGAAGAAATAACTGAAATTGGGTCAGGTGCTGTAAAGGGCTAATAGGATGGTCTGGTCATGAGGAGATAAAAGAGGTCCTGATTTGTTTGACCAAGTGAAATGAAAGCTATGTAGGACATGGACTCCATCTGCAAACTCAGGAGAGCATCAACAGAAGGGAAGCAGAGGATTTTGGTAAAGAAAACGGCCCTTGAAAAAATTGTCTTGCAGAAATTTGGAGAATATCCTCTTGTAGGAACACATAGGTTATGAACAGGAGTTTTGAGATGGAGTTTCCCTATTTTTCCAGAAGGCATTATGTGTGCCCAGGAAGTGTTTGCATTTAGCTTCTATCCCAGCTTTAAATGTCATGCCATGCAGCATGCCAGTCCAGCTCTCTTTTCAGGCTGTTGATAATGAAGCTTCAGAAACTCTTTGTTGTTTTTTGGTGCTTGCCAATGTTGAACCCCTCTTGAGTGATTGTTCTTCTATGTCAGCTTTAAGCTGCTTGTTGCTCCTTAGCAGGCTAAAGCTGCATTGTGTGCAGACTGCCTTTCTAGTCTTGATTCTTTTGCCTTTGCTTCAGCAGTCCTCTGTGCTGGCTGAAGTGAGACATAAATCTCTTCTGCTCTCTCACTCCCCAGCCTGTGCTTAGGTCTGGCTCTTCCTCTGAATGGCCTTATACACTCTTATAAATTCCTTCTGAAAACACGTAATATTCAAAATGTTTTCAAATGAGAGCAGTTTTGTAAAGGAATATTAAAAAAAAGGGAAATGTAGACATTTTTAGACATTCTTCTGTCACCCTCACATACCAAGGGCAGTGAGGAAAGTGAATGTAGTAGTTTGTGGAGCTGAAATTCTGCTAAAAATTACAGAATTTTAAAGTAAACAACAAGTTTAGAAGAGCTTTAGTCTGACGAATCTTGTTGGATTTTTTGTCTCTCATTTTGTGTTGTGTGTAAGAGAGTGTAATTTTGCTTTTGTGTAGCATGCCAGCATCTCTGTTGGAACTACTCACATTTCAGTTAATAGCACAGGCTTCTGTTTATCTCTCTGTTGTTCCTTAGAGATGTCTTTTGGATGAATGCATTAGCAACCATAGGAGGGTATGTGCTGTACACTTCCCGCTTCGAGTCAGAATGTCAAAGTTTGGCAAATGCTGCTCTGTCCCTCGGAGGGTACTTAGGTAACCTGTGTGCTTTGGGACCACTTGTTTGTCTGTTTGGGTAGAAAAAGGTCCTAAAATTACTTCTAATGTAATTTTATTTAGTAGAAAGATACTTTACATAGGTAACTTACAGTAGATTTCAGATGGAGAAAGCTGTCTCTCTTCCCTGGCCCATGACCAGTGGTGGTGGTAGCAGTATGGAAGTCTAAAAGTCATCAAACAGCTGAGTTGGAAACAGGGGCACGTTCACCCCAGCCAGAGTGAAAATAGCTGTGAGACCCATATTTATACCACGGTTAGGAAACTTGGATGATTTTTTTCATTATGTTTATGAAATTATTTTCCTACCCTCTGGCTTTTTCCATCCATAGTCTTGACTACTGTCCACTCTTTTGGTTTTATTTTTATTTAAGTAATGTGGGGGGGATAGAATATAAGAAAATAAAGATAGTGCATAAAGTAATCTTACCCCTGAGGAGTTGCAACTGGCTCAATTAACAAAGATTATGAACAGGCCTGACTTTAACAGGCCACAGCTGTAACCAGTAAGAAGAAGAGTGCTATGAAGGCGTGGGTTGGCTTATTATATTAATACTTGTTGGGCTGGCTGGTTGAGAAAGAAACTGAACTCAGTTGGCTGCTGTGAAGAAGAGAGAGTCAGTGCTCTGAGGAGCTGCCCATGTAAACCACACCAAGAAGGTATGAAACTTTTGTGATAAGGAGAAACAATATGGAACTTTTGCAATACTATGACAACAAACATCTCCCTTTTACTGACTATTCACTTTATCCACCTACTCTTATGACATTTTAGTGTCTGCAACTCCAGAGGCAGTGGAAAGCTTAAATTTGAATTTTTAAAGCAAATGTGTCTGCTGGGTGAAAATTCTAAGTGTATAAGGTCTAATAAAATTGTATTGAAGTATACATGGGTAACTTACAAGTACTTGGTTTTTAATAATACTTCTGGACAGAAATTTGATGGACTCTTTAGTATTACTTTAGCTTAAAATTTTAGCTAGGTTGTAAAATTATTTAATTTATGGTAAATTACCTGAAGGAGGAAATAAACACATGCTTCTTGCCTCAAGTAATGTACTATATGGGGTCATTACTGCACAAGGATTGAGTTGTGTTAACTGGCAGAAATGAAGATAGTTCTATTGAAGTCTGTAATGTC